TCAGCGGAACGACCCCAAGGCCACCTGAACACACTCAATCATGGCCACGGGTGGGTGTATGTAAATAAACAGGGGGAGGACTGGGGGAGGGGAGGAGAGGGGGTGAGGAGAGGGGTGAAGGGATGGAGACCTGGAGAGAGGAGAATTGAGGCTGAGGATGGAATGCCCTGGGGACGGGAGAGGAGAGAGTGGGGAAAGGATAGAGACCTAGAGACCTGGAGATGGAAGAGGAGAGGGAGAGGAGGGGGAGAGAGGAGAGGGAGAGGAGGGGAGGAGGAGAGGGAGAGGAGGGGAGGAGGAGAGGGAGAGGAGGGGAGGAGGAGAGGGAGGAGTAGAGGGAGGAGGAGAGGGAGGAGTGGGGAAAGGATAGAGAGCTGCAGACCTGGAGATGGGAGAGGAGAGGGAGAGGAGGGGAGGAGGAGAGGAAGAGGAGGAGAGGGAGGAGGAGAGGGAGGAGTGGGGAAAGGATAGAGAGCTAGAGACCTGGAGATGGGAGAGGAGAGGGAGAGGAGGGGAGGAGGAGAGGGAGAGGAGGAGAGGAAGGAGGAGAGGGAGGAAGAGAGGGAGGAGGAAAGTGAGGAGAGGGAGGAGTGGGGAAAGGATAGAGAGCTATACCTGGAGATGGGAGAGAAGAGGGAGAGGAGGGGAGGAGGAGAGGGAGAGGAGGGGAGGAGGAGAGGGAGGAGGAGAGGAAGGAGGAGAGGGAGGAGGAGAGGGAGGAAGAGAGGGAGGAGGAAAGTGAGGAGAGGGAGGAGTGGGGAAAGGATAGAGAGCTATACCTGGAGATGGGAGAGAAGAGGGAGAGGAGGGGAGGAGGAGAGGGAGAGGAGGAGAGGGAGGAGGAGAGGGAGGAGGAGAGGGAGGAGGAGAGGGGGTGAAGGGATGGAGACCTGGAAATCAGAGAGGAGAGACTGAGACTGAGGCTGAGAGCTGGGGCTGAAGAAGCCGAGTAAGGGATATGGAGCTCTGGACACAGGAGAGCAGAGACTAAAGGGAGAGAGACCTGGAGATGGGAGAGACTAAAGGGAGAGAGACCTGGAGATGGGAGAGACTAAAGGGAGAGAGACCTGGAGATGGGAGAGACTAAAGGGAGAGAGACCTGGAGATGGGAGAGACTAAAGGGAGAGAGACCTGGAGATGGGAGAGACTAAAGGGAGAGAGACCTGGAGATTGTGTGTGTTTGGAAACAGCTTTTGCAGAAGTTTAGTGAGAGTAAGAAGGACTGAGGAAGAGCACGAGATGGCCAGAGATGCAAATGAGCAGAGAGGGAGATATCGACCAAAGTATTGACTGTTTTTCTGCGATTGATATTCTGACAGGACGGCAGCGGTTTATTAAAAATGTGATGAAGGTTTAAGGTTCTAAAAACACGACTTATTAGAAAGTTTTTAAAGCCGGGGAACACATATCCATGAACTCATTACCCGTCTAAAAACAGTGTTGGCTTCTGTAACATCTTTAAATCAGCTTTTCCAGACTGTCTCTCTGGTCTCCCTCTCTATGGTCTCTCTCTCTCTGGTCTCTCTATGGTCTCTCTCTCTGGTCTCTCTCTGGTCTCTCTCTCTGGTCTCTCTCTGGTCTTCCCGTAGCCCTCCGCCCTGCTCCTCTGCAGCTTTATTTTACAGTGTATGCATGGCTTTTGACGGCTGCAGCAGTGCTCATACCTACAACCAACAGCGTTTATCTGGTCTATCTCTAGTCTCTCTCTCTGGTCCCCTTTTCTATGGTCTCTCTCTATGGTCTCTTTCTGGTCTCCCTCTCCCTGGTCTCTCTCTGGTCTCTCTCTCTGGTCTCTCCCTGGTCTCCCTCTGCTCTCTCTCTGCTCTCTCTCCCTGGTCTCTCTCTGGTCTCTCTCTGGTCTCTCTCTCTGGTCTTACCCTGGTCTCTCTCTATGCTCTCTCTCTGGTCTCTCCCTGGTCTCTCCCTGGTGCTGGTCTGATGGGAACCATAGGAGCCCTGTGTATAGAGCGAGGCCTCCTTCTGTTCAGGCTGATGTTTTTTTTTTAGGCCATTCTTTAAATAACCTCCAATCCCTCCTCTCTAATACTCTTCCTCTCGCCTGCTTCCTCCCTCGTCCTCCCCTCGGTCTCGCTGCGGTCCTCCAGAGCCGGGCGTGTGGCTAATTAAGGCGACCTGCGTAGCCCTGCGTGTTGAAGCCTCCCTCCGCAGAGACCGCGACGAGCCCTTTCTCTCTCTCTGTCTCTGGATCCTGTTTGTGTTTGTGGCACAGCTTCTACACTTCTTTTACAACCAGCTTTTTTCTCCTCTTTGCTCTCCCCTCGTCTCCTGGTCCCACTCCTGCTGCTCCTGGTCCCACTCCTGCCGCTCCTGGTCCCACTCCTGCTGCTCCTGGTCCCTCCTCAGGATCAAACTGAAGCTCCTTATTTGACTTTTTTTTTTTTTTTTTGCTCTTTTCTTCTTGTCGTTTGTGCTTTTGCAGGTGTCTGGGAACTCTGAGAGACCAGAGAGAGAGAGAGAAGATAGAGACGGCAGAGAGAGAGAGACCAGAAATAGACCAGAGAGAGAGACCAGAGAATGCAGAGAGAGAGAGAGAGAGACCAGAGAGGGTGACCAGAGAAAGACCAGAGAGAGAGGGCGAGAGAAAAGGCAGAGGGAGAGAGACCAGAGAGAGACCGGAGAGAGAACAAAGAGCGAGAGGACCAGGGAGAGAGGGTAGAGAGAGAGACCAGATAAACCAGAGAGAGACCAGAGTAAGTTCAGAGAGAGAGAGAAGAGAGAGACCAGAGAAAGAGACAAGGGAGTGAGACCAGGGAGAGAGAGAGAGGGACACAGACCAGAGAGAGACCAGAGAGAGAGAGATGGACCAGTGAAAGACCAGAAGAAGACCAGCGAGAAATATAGTATTTTTTACACTCTGTTTTTGCCGTTTGTGTTGTCGTGTTGCGTACAGGTGACCGGGAGCTCACACGGTCCCTTCGCTCCTGGTTCATTCATGGTGTTGACGGCGTGTTTGAGGATAAAGGCCGCGGCTGGTGTCCTTGATGGTGCAGAGGAGCAGAGGAGCGGCCTGCGGAGAAACCACTTGGTCCCGGCTCACATCAACACTGCGTCTTTCTGAAGTCTCTGTATCGACTCAAGGACAGGAGATAAAAACATAAAAACACCGGAGAGACTTTACCGCAGAAATAACACGGGATAGTTTTGGTACTTTCTGTCCCACGGTGAAGAGACGGAGGACTCAGAGAGAATGTCACAAAATATGGTTTTACAGATGACAATAAATAAATGTCCAGAGTAAACTTCTGCCGTTTGTGCTTTTACAGGTCACTGGGAACTCTGAGAGACCAGAGAGAGACCAGAGGGAGACCAGAGGGAGACCAGAGGGAGAGAGACCAGAGAGAGACCAGAGAGAGACTAGAGGGAGACCAGAGGGAGAGAGACCAGAGAGAGACCAGAGAGAGACCAGAGGGAGACCAGAGGGAGAGAGACCAGAGAGAGACCAGAGAGAGACCAGAGGGAGAGAGACCAGAGAGAGACCAGAGAGAGACCAGAGAGAGACCAGAGAGAGAGACCAGAGAGAGACCAGAGAGAGACCAGAGGGAGAGAGACCAGAGAGAGACCAGAGAGAGACCAGAGAGAGACCAGAGAGAGAGACCAGAGAGAGACCAGAGAGAGACCAGAGAGAGACCAGAGAGAGAGACCAGAGAGAGACCAGAGAGAGACCAGAGAGAGACCAGAGAGGGACCAGAGAGAGAGACCAGAGAGAGACCAGAGAGAGAGAGAGAGACCAGAGAGAGACCAGAGAGAGAGAGAGACCAGAGAGAGACAAGATAGACCAGAGAGAGCAGAGAGAGAAAGAGGGAGGGAATGAGAGACTGTGAACACTTCTTTTTTTTTCTTTTTTCTTTTCTTTTTTTTTTCATTTATTGTTGAGAATAGACATACAAAACATACAATACATACAATACGACAAACAAGAAGCAAACACAGACAACAAAGACAACATAGGTGATCAGTTTCAGTGATATTTACAACGTAAGAGGAGAATCTATACAAAGAGGGGAGAGAGGACAGTGAGTGTGTGTGTGTGCATGAGAGTGAATGTGGCATTACAGAAATCTTTTCCTATGTACAGAAGAGGGGGAGAAGGAAAGACAAAGTGTATATCTACACATACATACATACACATATATATTCATCCATATATACATACATTCACACAAACAATAATTATAAACATATAATAGTACATTTAAACATATACATATAAATATATATATAACATTAAAATTATAATAATAATGAATAATGATATACGATTGTTGCATAATAACATTGATAATGATTATAATAAAGATGATGGTGATAATAGAAATAAAGTATAACATCCGCAATAATAAAATTAATAACTGCAACAATAAATAAGCTTGTTTGGATTGAATGTGTTTTTAAATGTATTTATTTTTATAGATGTGATCTAATTGAATTGAATGTTATTATATTATTATACATACATATATATATATACATATACATATACCGATCATACACTCCTCTTAACCATCTGTTATGGTGCATTTGTTTGTTTTTGGTGTTTTTTCTGTGTGTCATGTGTGTGTTGCATTAAAAGAGATAGAGGGGTTTTTGTGCCAGACTAGTCTAGAACAGACACCCCACTGTCGTCTGGGTTGTGTAAGAGTATTATCTATTTATTGAATAGTGTTGCAAAAAAAAAAAAAAAAAAAAAAAAAAAAAAAAAAAAGGGATAGATAAGAAGAGTATGTTTTGTCAATGCCCGTGCAGCAGCCTAGATCCAAAGATTCCTATGAGGTAGTTCGGTGGAAACAGTCGGATTGAACCCATAGGGTTTGAATGTTAGTTTTAGTTTTAGCTTATATATGTACAGTAGCTCAGTTGGTAGAGCATTGGCCTTTGGGCCTGAAGGTTGTGGGTTCAAGCCCACCGTAAGACCTACTTCACGACTCCCACTGATGACTGCTGTCGTTGTGTCCTTGGGCAAGACACTTAACCCCACTTTGCCTGAAGCTCCCACTGAAAGATCTCAGCTCCTGTGGACTCACCACCTGCAGGAGGATCAGTGAGGGGCTGGTGCTGAGTGTACTGGGTGTAGCTCTGACTGCCACCCCCCCGACCCAGAAATGGATTAAGGGGAAGAAAATGGATGGATGGATGGATGTTGAATGTATTACAATGTTATACTATTATACAATATTATACTTTATCACCATCATACCATACTTTACTATTATATCCTATTCCTACTGTATTATTTTATCATATGTATACTGTTTTACTATATCAAATGTATACTGTATACGGAAAGATGAGAGGATGAAGTGAGACGAAGAAGGAGAGGTCTATGTGGAGTGGTATGTGAGGTGGTTAAGATGTTTGGTTTTTTTTTTTTTTTATGTGATGCTTTCTATCAGGGTTAGCCAGGAGAGGTTTTCGCTGAGATGATCATGTGTATTTGTTGTTGAAGAAAGTTCAGATGATATGAATTCTGTGAGTAGGTTCTTCCAGTGGGCAATGTGTATGGTTTTTTTTGTCTTCCAGTTTATGAGGATTGTCTTCTTGGCGATTGTGAGGGCAATAAGCAGAAGGCGGGTTTGTGGGAGTGTGAGGTTCAATGCAGTTGTGTCTCCTAGCAGACAGAGAGCTGGTGATAATGGGATGTGGCGGCCAAGGATGGAGGGGAGAGTGGTTTCAATGATATCCCAGAGTGTCCTAACAGGTGAACAGGCCCAGAGTGCGTGCAGGTATGTATCTGGTGCGTTCTGTGAGCATTGTGTGCATATGTTTGATGTGAACCCCATTTTGTGTAACTTTTCACCCGTGTAGTGGAATCTGTGAATAATTTTATTTTGGATTAATTGGATGTTTGCATTTCGGGACATGAAGTAGATGTTTTCAAAGATCTAGGTCCAGAAATTCGCATCGGGGATTAGGTCTAAGTCTTTTTCCCATTTTAGGGGAGGCAGGGGGAGACTGATATCTGACTGTCAAATTTTATGATAAATTTTAGATAATAATTTTTTGTGGGTGGGGATATTTAATATTTCTGACAGAGGAGTTGTCAGAAATACTGTGAACACTTCTGAGCATTAAGACTATAGGTCGCAAGGCGGGTTGAGTGCCCAGTCGTTGGACAAAAGCAGTAAAAGGCGAGGCCCCTCTTCAAACCAAACGTGCTGTGATAATAATCCGCTCTGAAAGGCCGTGGCTCAAAGTGCTACACAATAAACCTAACGAGATATTAATTCTCCGCCGTTATCTCGGCTATTAACGCAAATCCACTTTTGTGACAATGGGAGCGTTCTCCTCACACCATCAACGAGCTGGAGGAGAATCAATCATCTGTCGCCGGGTAAATTAGCGCCTCTAATTCCTCCCACCTTTTCATTGATAAAAGAGCAGTCACATCTCGTTACGGAACAATGCAGACGAGATCGTTTCATTAGGTCTCGTCCCACGCAGCAGAATGGAGCCGAGAATCAGGAGAAGGAACGTATAAAACTCTGGGATTAGATCTGGGATTATGTGGAGAGAAGGAGGGGTTTAGGATCAGTCAACAAAAATGAGGAAAAATACGCATTCTGGTCCCTCTCTCTCACTGGTCTCTCTCTGGTCTCTCTCTGTTATTTATTTGGTCTCTCTCTAGTCTCTTTCTGGTCTCTTTCTGGTCTCTCTCTGGGCTCTCTCTGGTCTCTCTCTCTGGTCTCTCTATAGTCTCTCTCTCTGGTCTCTTTCTGGTCTCTCTCTCTGGTCTCTCTCTAGTTTCTATCAAGTCTCTCTCTGGTCTCTCTCTGGTCTCTCTCTGGTCTCTCTATAGTCTCTCTCTCTGGTCTCTCTCCAGTTTCTATCAAGTCTCTCTCTGGTCTCTCTATAGTCTCTCTCTAGTTTCTATCAAGTCTCTCTCTGGTCTCTCTCTGGTCTTTCCCGCATCTCTCTCTGGTTTCTTTTTGGTCTCTTTCTGGTCTCTCTCTCTGGGCTCTCTCTGGGATCTTTCTGGGCTCTCTCTGGGCTCTCTCTGGTCTCTCTCTGGGCTCTCTCTGGGCTCTCTCTGGTCTCTCTCTCTGATCTCTCTCTGGTCTCTCGCTCTGGTCTTTCTCTGGTGTCTCTCGTCTCTCTCATGTCTCTTTCTGGTCTCTCACCCTCACCCCCTGCAGAGCCTCATATGTACATGCTAACACAAACCTCTCCTGCTGGTCCCAGAGTCAGGACTAAACATGGAGGAGGCAGACTTTTCAGATTCATACAACTTAAATCTGGAGCAGTCTTCCTGAAAACACGAGACAGGCTTCTTCTTCAAAACACTCGAGTTTATCCGTGCTACAACTGAATTTACACTGTGATTATTTATGATTTCAACACTCGTCTAATTGTATTTTCTCTCTCTCTCTCTCTCTCTCTCTCTCCTTAATCTCCCCTTTCAGCTTGTGTCTTTTGTTTTTCCTCTCACTTTGAAGAGTTTGAAAACCATACCATAATCTGGTTCCTGAATGCACCCATCGCTATATTTACCTTCGGATGAGTTCTCTCCCTTTAGGGGCTGGGAGACGGGGGGGAGGGCCACGGGGGGAGGTGGGGGAGGGGGAAGTATAGAGAGATAACACTCGGGAGAGAAAGAGAGAGGTTTGGCATCACCTCTGTTCCATCGCACACGTCTGGATCGACAATGGCGCACTTGATGGATGGAGCGGGCTGGCGAGATCCGCCTGGAGGCCACAGCGGCAGCCACGGCCCACAATGCATCTGTGTGTTATTGTGGAGAACCATGTAAAGGGGAAGAAAAAAACTAAAGCGTCAAAACAATTTAACCGCGGGTTGTTTAAGCTCGCGGTAGTTTATGGTGTGTGTGGTTAGTGACAAGGAGAGGGAACAGTGTCTGTAGGGGAGAGAGAGAGAGAGAGCAGAGAGAGAGAGAGAGAGAGCAGAGAGAGAGAGAGAGAGAGAGCAGAGAGAGCAGAGAGGGAGAGAGAGAGAGAGAGACCAGAGAGGGAGAGCAGAGAGAGAGAGAGCAGAGAGGGAGAGAGAGAGAGAGAGAGAGCAGAGAGAGAGAGAGCAGAGAGGGAGAGCAGAGAGAGAGAGAGCAGAGAGAGAGAGCAGAGAGAGAGAAAGAGAGCAGATAGAGCAGAGAGAGCAGAGAGAGAGCAGAGAGAGAGCAGAGAGAGAGCAGAGAGAGCAGAGAGAGCAGAGAGAGAGCAGAGAGAGCAGAGAGAAAGCAGAGAGAGAGCAGAGAGAGCAGAGAGAGCAGAGAGAGAGCAGAGAGAGCAGTGTCAGATGAGGCAGGTGAGGCCTCACAGCGATCATAGAAAGTAAATCCAGTGATTTATGTTTTTGTATCATTTCACGGAACTTTGCCTTTTTTCATTTATTTTTACCTTGAAATTCTCATATTTGACAAAGCGGCGCTGTGAGGCGTGTAAACGTCCATATCTCACTGTGGGAGAGACCTACAGCTCACTGTGGGAGAGACCTACAGCTCACTGTGGGAGAGACCTACAGCTCACTGTGGGAGAGACCTACAGCTCACTGTGGGAGAGACCTACAGCCCACTGTGGGAGAAACCTACAGCTCACTGTGGGAGAGACCTACAGCTCACTGTGGGAGAGACCTACAGCTCACTGTGGGAGAGACCTACAGCCCACTGTGGGAGAAACCTACAGCTCACTGTGGGAGAGACCTACAGCTCACTGTGGGAGAGACCTACAGCCCACTGTGGGAGAAACCTACAGCTCACTGTGGGAGAGACCTACAGCTCACTGTGGGAGAGACCTACAGCTCACTGTGGGAGAGACCTACAGCTCACTGTGGGAGAGACCTACAGCTCACTGTGGGAGAGACCTACAGCTCACTGTGGGAGAGACCTACAGCCCACTGTGGGAGAAACCTACAGCTCACTGTGGGAGAGACCTACAGCTCACTGTGGGAGAGACCTACAGCCCACTGTGGGAGAAACCTACAGCTCACTGTGGGAGAGACCTACAGCTCACTGTGGGAGAGACCTACAGCCCACTGTGGGAGAAACCTACAGCTCACTGTGGGAGAAACCTACAGCTCACTGTGGGAGAGACCTACAGCTCACTGTGGGAGAGACCTACAGCTCACTGTGGGAGAAACCTACAGCTCACTGTGGGAGAGACCTACAGCTCACTGTGGGAGAGACCTACAGCTCACAGAGACCTACAGCTCACTGTGGGAGAGACCTACAGCTCACTGTGGGAGAGACCTACAGCTCACTGTGGGAGAGACCTACAGCTCACTGTGGGAGAGACCTACAGCTCACTGTGGGAGAGACCTACAGCTCACTGTGGGAGAGACCTACAGCTCACTGTGGGAGAGACCTACAGCTCACTGTGGGAGAGACCTACAGCTCACTGTGGGAGAGACCTACAGCTCACTGTGGGAGAAACCTACAGCTCACTGTGGGAGAGACCTACAGCTCACTGTGGGAGAGACCTACAGCCCACTGTGGGAGAAACCTACAGCCCACTGTGGGAGAAACCTACAGCTCACTGTGGGAGAAACCTACAGCTCACTGTGGGAGAGACCTACAGCTCACTGTGGGAGAGACCTACAGCTCACTGTGGGAGAGACCTACAGCCCACTGTGGGAGAGACCTACAGCTCACTGTGGGAGAAACCTACTGTGGGAGAGACCTACAGCTCACTGTGGTGAGAGACCTCCAGCTCACACTGTGGGAGAGACCTACACCAGTACAGCTCACTGTGGGAGAGAGACCTACAGCTCACTGTGGGAGAAACCTACATCTACACTCTGGGAGAAACCTACCTCACTGTGGGCAGATCTACAGCCATCTGTGGGAGAGATCTGTGGGAGAGACATCTCACACCTGGGGAGAAACCTACATCTCACTCACAGGACTGTGGGAAACCTACCTACAGCACCTACAGCTCACTGTGGGAGAAACCTACAGCTCACTGTGGGAGAGAGCTCACTGTGGGAGAGACCTACAGCTCACTGTGGGAGAAACCTACAGCTCACTGTGGGAGAA